TGGCTCAAGCCTGTAACCCCAGCACTTTGAGAGGCCGAGACGGGCGGATCACGAGGTCAGGATATCGAGACCATCCTGGCTAACATAGTGAAACCCCGTCTCTACTAAAAATACAAAAACTTAGCCGGGCGAGGTGGCAGGCGCCTGTAGTCCCAGCTACTCGGGAGGCTGAGGCAGGAGAATGGCGTGAACCCGGGAGGCGGAGCTTGCAGTGAGCTGAGATCCGGCCACTGCACTCCAGCCTGGGCGACAGAGCGAGACTCCGTCTCAAAAAAAAAAAAAAAATACAAAAATGAGCCGGGCGTGGTGGCAGTTTGTAATCCCAGCTACTTGGGAGGTCTCTGAGGCAGGAGAATCGCTTGAACCTGGGAGGCGGAGGCTGCAGTGCCAGCCTGGGTGAAAGAGCGAGACTCTGTCTCAAAAAATAATAGTAATAAAAGAGTCCGCCTCTCAGTGCACCAGCTGAGTCCAGCCAGCAGTACAAAAGCCACTGGGACATCACAACTGAAGGTTCAACAAGGGAAATGGCAGGATGAGGGGGAGGTGGGCGTGTCCCGCCAGACATTGGGGTCCAGCCCTAGAACCACGGATGTGACCCCACGCACTGGAGTGGCCTCTGCGGCCACCATCGCACTTGGGATCTTGGACGGGAGATGATGCTGGGTAATCGTCTGGGGCGGATGGAACCACGGAGGGTAGGGGTGAGAATCAGGGATATGACCACGGAGGCAGAGGTCAGGTGAGGTGAAGAAGGGACCACGAGCCTGGGAACGCAAGAAGCACAGCCCTCGAGGTGGCGAACGCGAGGACCAGAGCACCTGTAGCCTCTGGAGGGCACGGCCTGCCCACACCTCAGCGGCCGCCCAGGGAGGTCTGGTCTGGACTTCTGGCCTCCAGAACCACAAAAGAACAAATATGCTGCTTGAAGCTCGGAAGCTGCGGGGATTGTGGCCGTGGCTGCGGGACACTGGCTGGGGGACACTCAGGCGGTGGCTTTTCCAGGACCAGCGTCACTGCAGAGGCTGCTGCTCTGAAAGCATGGTGGGCCACAGGGCGCCATGCCCCCTTGGGTCCTGTACCTGCTTCAGGACAGGGGTAAACAGTGTGGTATGCCAAGACCTCCTCCTGGTTTCCCTCCTCCGCATGGATCACTCCTTGAACACAGCCCCCTTCGTCGGGGTTCCATAGCCTCACCTATCATGGGCTGCACCCCATCCTTCCTCCAGACCCCTGGCCTGCAGGGCTTACCGAGGCCGAGGCCAACAGACTGATCTTGATGCCAAACACCTGACAGCCATCAAACTGGCTTCTATAGGGCTACGTGTGGCAGGTATTTCACAGGGGTACGAGTTCTCATTTCCCTGGGCTTTCTAATAAACTCTGGTCTAAAGAAAATCTCTTCTATAAAATGAGTGGCCAGTGCCAAGGGGGAGAGACAGAAGCTCCTTCTGGACACTGGCTGCTTTGAGCCTGTCCCGCCCAGGTACGGAGCCCACCAGCTGCGATCAGGACACTGCAGTTCCACCGTGGGAGACCCCGGGCCCTCGCCATGTCAGTCCTGTTTCACAGATGCTGGCAACAGCTTCGACGGCTTTGACACATTCTAAAATCAACAGGTGGCCGGGCGCGGTGGCTCAAGCCTGTAATCCCAGCACTTTGGGAGGCCGAGACGGGCGGATCACGAGGTCAGGAGATCGAGACCATCCTGGCTAACACGGTGAAACCCCGTCTCTACTAAAAAATACAAAAAAAAACTAGCCGGGCGAGGTGGCGGGCGCCTGTAGTCCCAGTTACTCGGGAGGCTGAGGTAGGAGAATGGCGTGAACCCGGGAGGTGGAGCTTGCAGTGAGCCGAGATCTGGCCACTACACTCCAGCCTGGGCGACAGAGCGAGACTCCGTCTCAAAATAAAATAAAATGAAATAAAATAATTTAAAAAATAAAATAAAATAAAATCAACAGGTACTTAGAACATTTCTCATGATCAATCATAAGACATGGCCTTGATGTTATGAAGAAATACCAATGAAATCCAAGAGGAAAACAGAACTAAACTCATCGGGATGAAGGATAAACCCTTCAAGCGTGTTTCAAGTCACTCAGCTGGAGCCTCCGTTGGGCAGTGAAGCTTCAGGGTTCCCACGAGATGGGATCGGCGTGAGGCTCAGTCCTGGCCTCTCTTGAAACACTGCGCATTTGCAGGAGTGCCGGCCCACAGGGCAGGAAGTCAAGACTGTCAGAGCAAGTGCTGATCCTGAAGCTGGAAGGACTTGCAAGGCCTCATTCCCCAAACTCCTTTTTTTTTTTTAAACCTCTGCTTATCTTAAAAAATGGAGAGGCAGGTGCCCTAGCAACCTCTCAGGAGTAACTGACACACGTGACTTGCGGTGTCTTCAAAGGAACAATCTGCAACTTGCTACTGTTTACACAGATCAAGACTAACAGTCGCCAGCAGCTGGTTCACGCATAACGTCCTTTGCAAGGGAAAGAACGGCACTGGAGGGCCGACTACCGAAGCAGACAGTGCACGGTGGACATCTGCCCCTTTTGGGAGCCCTCCCACGGTGCTTCCTGAAAACTCAGGTTAAGCTGACTCTGCTGTCCGGCTGATGAGGCTCCTTTGCTCAGCACACCAGCCCAAATAGAAGAGCAGGTGCTATGGCAAAAATGAGTTCTTGTAGCGACTATTTTTCATACTGAAACTGAAAAGCGAGACCAGCAGAGCTGTCCACAGAGCCCCTGACAGTTAGGCCCGGCTTTGGCTGCTGATGCAAGTGCTGGATGACGCTATTTCTGCAGGAGCTGGCTGCAGGCGCTGATCCACTGCGGGATGTGCCCCGAGAGGCAGAAGAAACGCTGGGAACCGCACACCTGACCTTGCCAGCATCCCCCAGGCAAAGCCAGGCACTTTGGGTTCATCGGTGGAGTTGGGCGATACTCCTTTCCCGTTTGTGTGCTTAGCTGCTGCCAACAGGATGCTAGGTGAAGCCTTACAGAACACAGCCAGTTGTGTGTTTTATAAAGCAAGGCTGCCCTCCCCCAAAGACAAATAAAACCGCGGGTATGGAAGGGACACCCTCCACCACACCCCGCCCTAATAATCTGGCACCGCAGGCAAAGGCACGGCCTGTGTGGGTAAGGTCCATTGTCGACGTTTACAACTTCCTGTTCCCTGATGCCTCAACTTCCCCACAGACCGACACACCTGTGATGGGCAGGGCCGTGACCTCGTGACCCTCACACACCAATGCAGCCCCTCACGTCTCCTGCTCTTTCCCCCACCGCTGACTTGCCCAAGGGTCCCGACTATCTGCCCTGCCTGTGGAGCTGCCTCCCGTGTGCCCCCCCAGGCCCCTTGAGGTGCTGTGCCTTCCATGGGACCTGCACATCTAATAAACCCCGGCAGTTCACCCGCTCTCCCAGCCACCCTTCCAGACCCCACTTACGACACACGACTAAGTAATGCAGTACAGGCCGTGTATTCATATTTGTTTTCCTGTGCCAACTCATCTGGTATCTTCGTATTTTAATGGATAAAACTAAAAGACGACAACCTGAAAGCCCAGTGCATTCCTCTCAAATTGAGTGACGTTTACAACACCTTAATTATAAAAGACTTATCTGACCTGCAAGAAAGCAGAGTGCACAGAAACTTCACCGCCAACTGCGGATGGCCTGAGAGCATCTGGATTTGGTTCTCAGCCTGAAGGAGCATCCTGGAATGGCGTGTCTCGTCCATGGACGTGGAGACACACGGAACAGGCTTGGGGCTCTGAGCAGGGCTCCTGAAGCCCCTCAGCCGGGAGGAAGCCAGGCCCACGAGAGGGGCGCCTGTTCCAGAAACACACGAGGATGAAAAGCTGTTATTGGCAAAGGAGACTTAGAGCAAGGAAATGCCCAGGAATAAAAAAAAGATTACGTATTTAGAGGCCAGGTGGGGAGGCTCATGCCTGTACTCCCAGCACTTCAAAAGGCTAAGGCAAGTGATCGCTTGAGTTCAGGAGTTTGAGACCAGCCTGGCCAACATGGCAAAACCACATCTCTACTAAAAATATTAATACAAAAAAGCTGGATGTGGTGGCGCACACCTGTAGTCCCAGCTACTCAGGAGGCTGAGGCAGGAGAATGGATCACGTGAACATGGGAGGTGGAGGCTGCTGTGGGCTGAGAACACAAACCCCACAAGAACTAACTTCAGCAAACATGAAACTTTACCATACGCTGAGTCCAGCAGTTCTCTCTCCATCTTTCTATTCCACTTCTCCCTCTCTGCCTCAACCTAGGGCAAGACAGGCTTGACCCGACGGGTCATGGCTCTGTACAATAATTTAGTATTAAATAACTGAGATGCTAAGTATGTAAGAACACTCATGACTCAAAGGCTTGGGAAGGGCTCTTTAAATTTGCTCTTTTAATGCATAAATAAATCCATATTATGTATTACTTTCTGGAAAAGGGTTAAACTCAAACATCTGAAATACTTTCATTATACCAGGTCAAGAAAAATGCCACAGCCAGAAAAATTTATTTTAAAACAGAAACATACATTAAGCTTTAAAACAACCAACTCTCAAACAAAAGAAGAAAGAGCCTTTGATCCCAGAGTCCACGCGGAACGAATTCCGTATGTGTTTGAAATTCACATAAGGAGCACTTAGAAAACCACCTGAAATGGAACTCCCACAGCCCCCTTGCCTGTGAGGGCTCCCGCACCTGCCAGTGTGAGGACATGGCCGACCCCCGGACACTCGCGCGCCGGGAGCCACCACAGCTCAAGGGGACTGGCAGCGCCCAACTCTGTGACCAAGACAGACGTTCACACGTGGGGGCACCGTGAGCGCCACCAGCTCCAAATCTGATGTGAGGGACGTGGGAGATGTCTGAGAAATGTCCAAAGCGATTTTGGCAACACAGAAAATGCAATGTCTGGGAATTCCACCAAATGCTTCCAAAAATACTCATGGACAATTCAAGTCGCACGTGGCCAGCGGCAGCCCGGGCGGCCTTCAGTCTGTGTGGGGCGCCCGTGTGGCCTTCTCCTCGTAGGACTCCCCGAACTCGTTCACTCTGCGTTTATCCACAGGATAAAGCCTATAACGACACAAATGAGCACATCAGCAAACCCCACTGCAGGGCCTATTTTCCTAAGAGGAGGACTTGGCATCCTTGATTTATTTTCCAGTGAGCGGCCACAGTGAGCAAATTAACTAAAAAGTCGATCCTCAGAAGTTTTACTGCCGAGGGCTGAGGAGGGATTTCTGAGTTGTGTTTTGTTCTGCATGGCCAGGCCAACACACTGCTCTCTAGGAAAGGGAAGCTTGGCCAAATGGAGGACCCGGAGGCTGCACTGGCCGCCTTCTGGGAACTGTGGAATCACGGAGACCTGCGCGATCAGAACAGGAACTGCCATGTTCAGGGAGTGCGTCTCCGCAGCTGTGAACACTTGGCAGGACACTGCCGCCACCTTTGATCCTGAGCCCCCGAGGCTTTGCCAACATCACCCCTACGTATGGATGAGGAAGCTGTGGCGTGAGGGGCAGCTCCACACAGCCACGAACAGTAGACGTACAGGGTTTCAGCTTAAAAACGGACCTGCTGCCCACCAAGGGCCCTGTGGTCCTGGCCAAACACCGTTTGCAGGTCTGGAACCAGAAACACACAGAGCCCGAGTGTAGCACAGTTTCAGGCACGCCCTGGGCCACCTGCGAGGACTTGGGAGCCACCTGAAGGGCTCACGGTTGAGACGGGACCCTGAAGAGTGACAACCACGCCAGGCGCAGCAGCTTCTGGGGCTCCATGGCTTGGACAACCTCAAGCTCTGCAAGGGGCAGGAGGCCAACTGGGGGATCTGAGAATGGTGAACGGGGGATGGGAACCAAGCCCCGTGTGAGCATGAGTGTTGCTTACGGGGAAACAGCCCTTCCTGCTGAGACCCAGGCTGGAGCTCCAGTGCAGGGGCTGCACGAGACAGCAAGGGGGTGGGTGGGCAGCCGGCGGCCAGGCCTGGAGAACTAGGCAAGGGTGGCCATGCGCCACTGTGTGAATGTGCCAACTGCACCTGAACAAAGAGTTAAAACAGGCCGAACAATGCCAGCCTCACGCTGGCCGGGACAGAGGCTCCGAAACACCCGGCAAAGCTGTGTGTGGAGACAGGCGGGGATGGGAGCACTGCGCTCCCCAAGGGCCGGCAGCCCAGACCGAGGCAGGACCCCCCAGGACGACCTGGGGGAAAAGGCTCTCTCTCCAGCACTAGGAGGATGCCCAGGCCTTGAGGGGGGCCATGGCCTGGGAAGGGCGCACGGAAGTGTCACAGCCATGGTGTATGAGTGGTGGCCTCCTGGTCGGGGCGGGGGGAGATGGGAAGAGGGATCTCGAGGGTCAGAGAAAGGACACAGCCAGGAGGCTCTGAGACACTTGGCAATAGGCCTTGGGGGTGACACACACTCCTTCCACCCCTGGACAAGGCCTGGGGCCGGGACTGGAGGTGAGGGCAGTGCTTGCAGTGGTCCGGATACAACCCTCCTGAGGGGAGCCCCAGATCCCTGGCTCCTACCCTGGCAGAGCAGAGCTGAGGGAGCTCTTGCTGACTGAGAGGGCAGATGTCAGCCCTGGAGGGAAGCAGGAGGCCCGGGGCGGGACCTGAGCCTCTGCGTTTAGAAAATTCCGAGGCCCGGGGCGGGATCTGAGCCTCTGCGTTTAGAAAATTCCACAAAGCCTTTTCCTTAGCCGTCAGCCTTCGACCTGAAGGCCAAGCCAGGAGGTCAACACAATGTCATCTTCAGAGGCCCGGGTGGCTGGTTTAAGGGGTGTGGCCAATGTTGAGGTGAGTGCGCTCTCCAGTGACATTCTGCCCTGCAGGGACACACAGCCCAAGAGTGGCCCAGAGCCTGTTCCCGACGCTGGAGACCTGGACCCCAGGACTGCCAGCTGGACACCTCAAGGCTAGTGCCAAGTATGGATTAGTCGTGCTACGGTCTCTGTTCTGCTCAATAGCAATGACTGTGAATAAGTAAATAGCTTAAGGAGAGAAATTTGCTTTCAGTGGCTAATCACATAGAAATGAGCATTTCTAAAGCACAATGAGGAGACAGAGCTGCAACAGTTTCTTGCCAGGTCATATCATGGGCAACTGGAACCCAAGTTTAGGCAAGACAGGAAAAACCACCACCCGCAAATTATCTTTGCCTTGAAATGGACACACAGGCGCAGGGTGCCGTGAAAGCCGTCATTCTGTTCAGCAGCAGCGCCACGCCGCTGAGACGGACCAAGAGCTGAGCGTGCACAGCCGCACTCACCACCGCTGGTACAGGTAGACCAGGAACACCACGTCGTCCCGGAAGCAGGCCAGCCGGTGAGACGTGGGCATGGTGATGATGAAGGCAAAGACGTCATCAATGAAGGTGTTGAAAGCCTGCAGGGCCCCACGGGAGGAAGGTGAATCCCAGTTGCTGGGACTGGAATCCTATTGTTTCTGGTAACCTAACCAAGCAAATGGCTTTTGGCAGATACTTGGAACTAACTGGAACTCTTCACAGCAACAATGAAAAGAGCAGAAAGCCGGCAAGTGGAGACACAACGCTCTGTTCCCTCAGGGGTTCCCCACAGCCGCTGGCACCTGACACACTGCAGGTCTCGCCCAGGCTCCCACCCACATCGGGGAACCCAAAGAGAACAGCCTGAAACCAGAGCCAAGGGGAGAGCCAAGGGCAGAGCCGCCCGAGACAGAGCCAAGGGCAGAGCCAAGGGGAGAGCCGCCCGAGCATTGCCCTTTCCTCTGGGAGCTTGTACTTGACTTCAGAAAAGTGCAAATTACATCCCATTACCTCAGCTCCGCCTGCAATGCTGAGGCACTTCTAATCCCACAAGGAGCCAAGGGGGCCTCCACAGCTCTACCCGCGGGGAATGGCCACGGCCCACTGGGGCTTCCATTCCTGCCTGGGAGGCCTGAATCCACTGTCCCCAGGCACCAGTTACTGGGCCACAGGGATCTGTGTCTTGACACACATGCTAAGAAGAAACATAAAAACTAAAAAAAACAAACCAAAACCAAATCTGTGACAAGTGAGAGAACCCCAGTCTTTCAGGGTCTGAAGTTGTCTACAGCTCTTCGCTTTTCTTAAAGGAGCCTCCTTAATATTTTTCAGTGGAAGGGACGGCTGCAGATGCACTCTGGGCAGAGACTGCCCCGGTAATGCTGGGGCTGGAAGACGCCCTCACTCATGCTCTGCTCAGTGAGAGGGGACTCCTCGCCAACTGTCACACTCACCTTGTAGGTGAAGGCCTTCCAGGGCAGATGTGCCACTGACTTCAACTGAAACAGGAGAGACAGGCACAGGTCAGCTGCGGGCAGCACAGGAGATGGGGGCCGGGCCGCAGGCAGCACACATCACCTTACCTTGTAGTTCACAAAGAGCTGGGGCAGCATGAAGAGGAAGCCAAAGGCATAGACCCCTGCAGAGAGACAGACAGCACTCACCAGGCGTGGAGGGCCGGGCTGCCACGTCTGTGCATAGCGGGCAGAAAACAAGGTCTGCCATCCAGACAACTTCAGAGTCTGTCATTGTGTGAAGCAACTTTCTGGCTGGTAAGTTTATCAAGAGTCTGTGACAACTTTGGAAAGCAAAGCTCTTCTATTTATTAATCAGTGTAACTGCTGCCCATGGGGTCAAGTGAGTGAGGGCGCTGGAGCACCCTGGGGCTGAGGACACGGCCTCCTGACCCACAAGGTCCTGCCCCAGGGGTCAAATGTGGGGCTCCAACCAGGTGTGGGACTCCCAGCAGGGAGGATGGCAGTGCGGGACCCACCTGCTCTGCACCAGACAGGCCCTCGCCCTTAATGCTCACGGGACCACTCCCCAAAGAGACCACAAAGCTGTGATCAGGGCTGGTCTGGTGGGGCGGGGGAATGGACACAGCAGCCTATGCAGCTGAAGGTGCCACCTGGGGCAGGTGGGGGCAGGCGGGCCTCCCAGGACATGTGGCCCCGAGCACAGGGCCCTGCAGGGTCCCCACAGTGCATCGGCAGGAGAGCCTGGTGCTTCCATTTGCTCTAAGGAACCAGACGTGGATGGTGTTGTTTTAATGGTTACTTGTTTTCATGAAGAAAACAGACAACAGTCCCGTACCACACAACGCTGTTGTGATCAGCGACACACACGGATACCAGGCGGCTGCACCACACAGCCTGGTGTGGAGTGGCTGCCGCATCTGGTGTAAGCACTCCCTGTCGCTTGTACAAGGACCTGTTTCTCAGAACCAGTCACTGTTGCGAAGCTACGCAGGGCTTTATCTGCTCACAGCCTGGGGGGAGCCCTGGACGCCGCAGAGGCACCTGCCACACTGGGTTACAATGTGAGAACCATTAAACTGGTGCCTGCTGTAAATACTATTACTGAAGTACGGAAGCACATGGACTCACCGTTGACAAAGCTGTTGATTAACCAGGAGTACCAGCTGAAATGGAAAAAAAAAGGAGAAGTCCCATTTCTTGCATAGCTTAGTATCTGTATTAAATTGACGAAAAATAATTCTTTCATTAAAAATTCTCTAAAAAAAAAACCCCAGGTGTTCTCACTGCAGCTAGGCAGCCAAGAGCAGCAGTGCTGAGCCTGGTTCTCAACCTGGAGACAGCGCTGAGCGCCCCCGCCCAGGCAGCAGAGGCCAGGGGCTCTGGGACCCCTCTCAGCTCAGGGCCAGCACCCTGCTCGGGCAGCAGAGGCCAGGGGCTCCGTCGCCTCTCGGCTCAAGGCCAGCATCCCACCCGGGCAGCGGAGGCCAGGGGCTCCAGGACCCCTCTCAGCTCAGGGCCAAGCTTCCCATGAAGCCTGGTGGCCGGAGTCAGTCCTCTCAGCTACACCTTACCAGTGGGGGGACACTGAGGCCCAGAGCCCACTGTGCGCAGCTGCAGGGTCAGGATCCCTCCCAGGCACTCGCCCAAGTGCCCTGGCCCCTAGCTTGCCCTCCAGCCACGCTCCGCTCTGGCTCAGTCATCCAAATGGCTTTCTCAGGGGAAAGACGGAGCAGGTGAAGCGTATGCGGCCTCCTACCTCTTATACTTGATATTCAGGAGGGAATAGACAGCACCCCCGACACAGAGAGGGTACAGCAGGTATGACAAGTACTTCATGGCCTGCGGGGAACAAAGGGAGCTTCCAGTTAGAGGCCCAAACGCCAGGCCTGTGTAAACGCACTGCATGGAGCTCACTACGACAGGGACAGACAGAACGAGCTACAGCACTCGGGGCGGCAGGGCTGCTCTGAAGGGGGCGGGCAGTGTGAGGGGCGTACGTAGGGCTTCATGCACTCGCCACAGCCCAGGAGGCACCGCACGCGCCACAGCCCGGGTGTAACTACAGGCGCTAGTTAACAATAATAGATCAATTTGGGCTGGTCAAAACCAACCGATCCACAACAAATCAACAAACATAATGGAAAGACACCTGAAAAAACTGTCTACTAAGTAATGTAGTTACATCGCCAGCTGTATCTATTGATTTCAGCTTTACAACTCCATGAAAGTTAGATATAAGCTGGTGAACATTAAACCAAACCAAAATCACTCCTGTGCAGAAATGTTCTTTTAACTTGAACTGAGACTTCCAGCTCCCCCAACAGCACTGGGGAAAGGTGATGCTCTGTGCTTCTGGGGCCGATCCTCCAGGCCACCGAGCTGCCGAGGCCGTTACGGCCTTGGTGACAGCAAGTGCGTTCCCAGCAACCACAGCAGACACCAAGGCCTGTGTCAGCTGCCTGGCAAATGTGACTTACAAACGATGAAAATACCCCTACTATACGGTGACACAGGCAGGCTGTGCCTTTAAGGACTGGAGAATGAGCGTCTCTGCAAGCCCCCGCCCTTCCCAGTAAGAAATTTGGGTTTTAGGTGTTCACTCTCGGGATCCCTGCTCAAGGCGGGCTGACCCGTACTCCAAGGACACTTCCGCACTGAGCAGTGACAGCAAGAGCCCCGTCTTCGAGGATGTGGGATGTGCCTGGCATGCACGTGCCCTGAATCACATGTGACTTACCTGAGTATCGTACTCCTCGGTTTTCCTCTCAGATTCGCTGTAAGCGCCAAACTGTTGTGAAATTCAACACAGGGGATGTTAACAGACTCAGGGAGGATCTGAGCACAGCTGAGCTGTGACTAAGGGGCGTCACACATGGCTGCAGAGCTGACCCAGGCCTCGCTACAGAGGGCGCTCAGGTCCCTACTGGCCAAGGAGAGGACCCAGAGGACAGGGATCTGCATGGACCCTTCCCACCTCACCCTGGCCCTGGGTCCCGCAGGCCTGAGCGGGGACAGCGCGGCCTCATTGCTGTTCCTCGTTGGGTGGCTCGGTTTTCAGTGCCGCTGCTTCACAGTGAGAACACTGCAGAGGGCACAGGCACAGCCGACAATGCTCTGAACCAGCCGGCCAGGAGTCACGGAGCCAGGCTGGAACACAGAGGCTGCGCTGTATCTGCTGGGCTTCCTGCCCTTCCTCTGCCCACAGCATGGAAAATCTCAGCCGTGACTGCTGAGGGCCCTGCCTCAATCAAGGTCCATCTGTGGGCATTGAGATTCAGCTCCAGCTCTGCCCCAGCCCTCATCTGCCTAAGGGCCTCTTGAGCACCCAGGCACTGGGGCAGCCACAAGAGGCAGGGGTTCGCTCACTTGGGGATTGCCAGGACTGTACTGACCCCAGTCAGCACCAGCCTCAGGAGAGCACTCTAGGCAAGGTGCCAAAATGAAGCACTCTCGCTGGCCGGCCAGCGTCCTTTCTCCCAGAGGCCGGCTCAGGCCCAGAAGCGCTGCCATCGGCATTGAAGAGGGTCAGAACTAGGTACATGACTGGGGAGTCCTCAGGCGAAGAGAGTGGCTGCGATCGGAAATCAGTGCTGCCTCCACTACGGAGGCTCCCGACAGAGGCCCACAGTGACTCATCCGCGGATGGCCACTTTACTCTGAGCGCAGGAGGCAAAACCACACTCTTCAGAGAGGGCGTGGGGTTCAGCCACTACAGTTAAATCCTACCTGAAATTCAGGGATCAGGCCTCTCCAAAGAATAGTCATCTTCAATGCCTTCTTCACTTTCCACAGCTGAGGGGAGAAATCAGGAAATAGTTCCTTTAATATTCCAAGGCCACAAGACCCCGAATGAATGACCCAGATGGTAACGGATAGGACCTGCCGCCCACGGCCCCACCCAGCCCACTGTCCTCTTCCTGTCCCTCCCACAGCTCAGGGGAGAATGGTGGGGGCCGGACCTGGGTCTCTAACCCACACCCGGCAGGTATACCTGGTCAGGTGGGCTGCACAGCCACTGACGAGCAGATGACAAAAACCAGCATGCAAGTACAGTTCTCTAAACCACCCTGCCTGCACCCAAATTAGCCCCCACCTCCTTCTGCCTGGCACTTGGGCAGCCGTGGAGCCTGTTTCAGGACCTCTCTGAGAGCTGCCACCACCTGACTGCATCCTTGGAAGGCATCGTTCACAGAGGACTGGTGCCTGAGCTGGGCGTGGCACTGTGACTCGTACCTATGGAGGGCCCTGCCTGCGGTGCTCCAGCACCGTCTAATCCAGCTCCTCCTCAACAGGCATGACGGCCGTGCAGGCCCCCACCCACAAACGGGCCACCAACTGCGGGGCCCTCAGACTCTGGCTCCTGCCGGGGTGGCACAGAGCTCAGGGAGGAGCTAGGCGGGTGTCTGGGCCCTCTCACCCCGAAGGCCATTGGCCCCTCAAGTTTTGCTCCCAAGCTGGCCCTGCCCCATGAGGCTCCCTTTTGGCTGGCTTTTCTGAGCTCCGAACAGGGCTGGACCACAGGACCACAGGGCACCGAGTGATTTCCGTCACTGCCCACCTGGCCGCCGTGCTCAGCTCTGCAGCCACAGCACGAGCCTCTCAAGGCCCCACGGTTTACGCCTCTGCTTTGCGCGTGGTGGGATTTCTCAAACACGTAAACCACTCTGCTTGGTGGACAGGCCTCAGGAGCTGATGCCATCAGAACACCCATTTCCCTGCTCTCCACTTGTTCAAAGCCTTTATAGCCACCGCCTGCCATTCCACAGCTTCCAGAACACCGAGGCCGTCGGGAACAAGCACGCGGGCTTCCACGGAAGGTCTCACACGCTGGGCCTGAAAGCCTTTCCCGAGTGCACGGAGGCCCATGAACCTCAGACAGTTCAGGTCACTGCCCGGAACTCACCTCGATGGCGGCTCCAACGCCCGCCGGGACCAGCACCAGCAGGCTCGTCTGCTCGTCCAGCAGGAACAGGAAGATGACCACGGTGCTGAAGCAGCGCCAGAGCACTGGGGACAGGACGGTCGGGCTGGGAGGGGGTGCAGGGCAGACCCCGCCTGTGTGCCCCCAAGTCGCACACATACCCCCAGTCCCCCATCTCAATCCCCACGCCCAAGAAGCTTCAGGTACTCCCCAGTCCATGTCCCCCTGTTTAAAAAGAACAGGGAAGTATCCAGCAGCCAGGAAAGTGTCTTGAAGGCTGCTGAACTAACAGCTGGCCCCACACCAGCTCCACAAACACGTGTCTGAGCCACACACACCAGCTCCACAAGCACGTGTCTGAGCCACACCTGCAAACGAGCACGGAGCGTGGGCAGAGGTCGGATGACGGCCAGCACAGCTTAGATTCCAGGCAGGTCTTATGCTGGTTCTGTGATAAGCGCGTGGCTTTTCAAGTCTGGACTGGTTTCCTCCCCAGCCTGTACCTTAACAACCACTCCAGCTTATTCAACACGCCTTCCTCCTCCCGCAAACCCCCAGGGCAGGTAGGGGAAGCAGATCCATGGAGCCACACGACAAACAGTGCTCATGGCCACAGCGCTGTCTGTTGGCCACCCCAACCCGCGACGCCGGGAAAGGCATTAGGGTTAGGAGACTCCACCACAGAGCACGGCAGGGCCCCAAGGCAGCCAGGGCCACCTGCTTGGGCATCTTTTCCACTTGAGAAAAACAACTTGTTTGGGTCTCTGATCCTGGAGCCGAACACTCCTCATTCCTAACCAAGACCCACCCACTCCTCGTCTTCACACTGCCAACCCCTCGCCCCTGTCCAGACCGCCGCTCCCCACCCCACTGTGACAACCTCCACCCCTGCAAGGTCAGGAGGACCCTCACTCACTTGGGCCCCCTAACCACGGCAGGCACCCTTGGCCAGGAACATTGGTCCCAGATCTTGGCAGGCCTCCTGCCCGGGCTGCCTGGCCTCAGGGGTCCCTGACCGCCCTACCTAACAGCTGCACACTCCCTATCGCTGCCGGGCACAGCACCACGGGCCTATCAACTGCCATCACCTGGCAGGCCCCACACACCCAGGTCTGCGCTGGTCGGGGAAGGAAGACCCGCGGGAAGACGGGGCGAGGGAACTAAGACAGGGGATATGAGGCCCCAGCCCCGCTCAGCGCCCATGAGCAGCCGGGAAGGCTGGAGAGGTCCATGCTTCTCACTCCCCACAGCCCAGGTCCAAACCCCATGCACGCCAGAGTCCACAGCCAGGCCCTGAGCTATGCAGTCTCCGGCAGTCACACCACACGCATGCCACAGTTTGCAGCCAGGCCCTGAGCCGCGCAGCCCCCGACAGTCCCACTGCAATTGCCGCAAAGGCTCTCTGGGTTTTACAGTGTCTGGTCTCAGAGGCTTCTCAAGAGCCAAGCACACACCCGGCGCTGTGTCTGCAGCCAGCAGTGAGGCGGGCAGCCCTCAACCACAGGCTCCAGTGAGCATCCCCGGGGCAGAGGATCTGAGCAGGGCCACGCTCGGGGCGCCTACCTGCCTTGGTGGACATGCCGATCATGCTCTTCTTCTTCTTCCAGAAACTGATGTCATTTTTAAAGGCCAGGAAATCAAAGAGAAGCTGGAGAGAACACACACGACAGCAACTCACATCTCCTGCTGTTTCCATCTCCCGTGAGACAGAGATAGAGGCCTCACGTGTGACTGTGAGGCTGCAGTGTGCTCAGCCTCAGGACGCATCAGGACAGATGTCTACACTCGGGACCCGCACCTCCATGCACCTGGCCTGCCATGTCCTGTCAGAACCTAGAGTGCCCAGGCAGGCTTTGCAGGGGCCCTTCTGAAATAATGACTTGAATTGCTGGAAAGGCCCACAGGCAATTGGAGGCTCTGGATTCCCCTGGACTGTGGGGCTGGCTGGGCGTCCCGACCCTGCTCTCGGGTTGTGGCTACTCAGGGCAGCCTCACCTCTCAACTGTGCTAGAAATGCAGGGGCTGGGCGTGGTGGCCCATGCCTGTGGTCCCAGCTACTGCAAGGCCAAGGCCGGAGGACTGCCTAAGACCAGGGTTTTGAGACCAGCCTGGGTAACATAGTGAGACCTGTCTCCAAAAGAAAAAAAACTTAAAAAAACCTAACCGTGCATGAGCTCATCCTTAGAGACATCGACCTTTTAATAAAAATCATTTAATTCTCCAATGTGGCTTTAGAAAGTTTTAGCTTGATGGGCAGCCAAACTCCCAGGCACTCAGAACCAGTGCCAGCCGCACGCCTGGGTGCCTCCTCACCCTTCCAGCCTAACCACAGGCCAGCCTACCAGCCACAGGATGGCTCTCCTCGAGCAGCTCAACTCCACGGGCGAAAATAAGAGCACAGCAGCCTTGCTTTACCCATGGTTTGCTGTTACCCACGGAGCAGTGCGATGAGATATTCTGAGAGTGAGACCACTCCCATGTAACTTCATTACAGTGTACTGTCCTGCTTCTGTTACCAGTTATTATTGGTAATCTCTTACTGTGCTTAATTTATAAATTGAACTTTATCATAAGCATTATATAATATATATATTTATAAGAAAAATCAGTCTTTCTAGGTTTTGGTTTCAGGTATCCACTGAGGGTCTTTGAACATATCTCCTGAGGATAAGGGAGGACTACTGTATACACACTGGATGAGGATGAGGTACTACTGTATACACACCGGATGAGGATAAGAGACTGCTGTATACACACCAGATGAGGATGAGGTACTACTGTATACACACCGGATAAGGGGGGACTACTGTATACACACTGGATGAGGATAAGGGGGAACTACTGTATACACACGAGATGAGGATAAGGGACTGCTGTATACACAATGGATGAGAATTAGGTACTACTGTATACACACCAGATGAGGATAAGGGAGGACTACTGTATACACACTGGATGAGGATAAGAGACTATTGTATACACACCGGATGAGGATGGGGGGACTACTGCATACACACCGGATGAGGATGGGGGGACTACTGCATACACACTGGATGAGGATGGGGGACTACTGCATACACACTGGATGAGGATGGGGGGACTACTGCATACACACCGGATGAGGATGGGGGGACTACTGTATACACACCGGATGAGGATGGGGGGACTACTGCATACACACCAGATGAGAATAAAGGGGGACTACTGTATACACACAGGACTTTTTACATTTAAAAATCAGTGTGTTAGAATTTGTACAAGTACTTTCTGCCAGAAGCTGCCCACCTCTGCATGGGCGTGCATGGGGTCGGGGCCCGGACAGGGGAGGGTGAGATGCCTGCACCTGTTCATCTCACTGGTGTGGACACTGCTCAGAGTACTCTGGATCCTTTTCAAAACCGCCCCCAAAGCCAGCACAGCACAGCCCAAGTCCCCAAGTCCCCAAGGCTGTGGACGGAGCTCTATGGTTCCTCCCTTTACAGAACTGGGAGAACTCGCCCACTGGGGCAATGGTCGCCAAGTGTCAGGAGTGCTGGCTGCTGAGCAATGGGAGCAGATGCTTGGGGCCACAGGGCTGGACGGCGCCCACAAACCCCAGGTCCAGGGCCCCTGCAGGAGGCCCGGGACCCAGGGAGTCTCCCCAGTGCCTGCGGCAAGCCCTCCTGGCGGACGACTCACGTGGAACGCTGCGACAAAGAAGGTCAGCGCCAGGAAGTATAAGTTGGTATCTACAAAAATTCCTTTCACCTCATCAGCATCTTTCTCTGAAAACCCTGCCAAGGAAAAAAAAACATACAATATAAAACAGGCAATATCAATCTTACCTAACATTACAAATACAATTTTCAATATAAAAATTTAGGCCGGGCACAGTGGCTCATGCCTGTAATCCCAGCACTTTGGGAGTCTCAGGTGGGTGGATCACTTGAAGTCAGGAGTTTGAGACCAGCCTGGCCAACACGGTGAAACTCCATCTCTACTAAAGATACAAAAATTAGCCGGGCATGGTGGCACACGCCTGTAAATCCTGGCTACTGGAGGGACTGCGGCATGCGAATCGCTTGAATCCGGGGGGCGGAGGCTGAAGTAAGCAGAGATTGCGCCACTGCACTCCAGCCTGGGCAACAGAGTGAGACTCCGTCTCAAAAATAAATAAATAAATAAAAATAAATCTCGTCAACAGTTAAGGTTCATTTGACCAAAATCATGGCATTTCACATATTATGTTCTTAATGAAGCCAATTTCCAGACAATCAACCAGGTCATCTCCAAGGAGAGAAGTGAGGCAGCTGCTGCTGAGCCTCCGATTCAACGTCTGTGTGAGTATCTGCAGCAGGAGGCGTGGAGGCCCCGGCCTGTGTCAGGATTTGCACTCAGACGCCCGAGGGGCTCCAGGGCAGCCTCATCCTGACGCCGGCCGTGTGCAGCACGTACCGAACTGCTGCAGGGAGTACACGGCGTCCTGCATGTGGATCCAGAAGCGCAGCCGTCCCAGCGAGACCTTGTCGTAGGACACGGTGAGGGGCAGCTCAGTGGTGGAGCGGTTTATGACCTGATGAAGACAGCCACACTGAGGGCCCTGCCCTCACACCCTTGCGCCCAGCTGCTTGGCAGCCCTCGTCAACCCTGCCATCCCCCTTCCCATCCTTGTGTGGCCCCATGTCAGCCATGACGGGACCCAGCAGGTGTCCTAAGGTCCCTCCTTCTGTCACCACAGAACCCAGGCCCCAGCGTGCTGTGTCCCAGCACAGGGAGGTTCCCACCACCACCAGGACCCTGTGAGCTCAGCAGTGCTAGCACTGCCTGGGCTGTTCTGCTGCACATGCCCCTTCAATTTCAAGTGCACAAGTCCTGGTTCCCTGGAGGTGATGCTTGCCACCCATCTGCTAGGAATCCACGGTGCAGCATACAGCGCTGAGCTTGGCCTGCAGAGCGCTGGCTTGTCCTAAGAGTTGGGGACCACGGGACACGCACAGCCCTGCAGCACATGGGCAAAGTGCCCTCAGGGCCTAAAGCATGGAGCAGGCGGTGGCCATGGGGACAACAGAAGGCTTCCGGAATGCAGAGCTAGCACGGGCAGTGGCATGGATGTGTGGGCCTCAGAACAAGCTCAGTCCTGCGGCCCGCCGGGGTCTCATGCACACAGGCTGCAGACCAGGTCCCAGGGCACCGAGGTAGGAGGGTAAGGAACAGGTTCACAGCGGCAAGCCCACACCCTACAGCACATGCACAGTGACCACACCCGGTGAGCGCCACCCTCCACACGCTGGAATGTCCAGCGAGGGCTGTGCTCTTATCCACCTGCCCTGCCTCACGCCCCGACCCGCCATGGCGGGCACTGCTGGTGTCAAGGGTGTGGTGGAGTCAGAGCCACAACCAGCAGGTGCCAGGTTGTCCTGAGAGCAGCTGTCAGGGCGCCCCACGCAGCCAAGTGGCATCAGTGCACGTGGACGGTGGCCTCCAGGCACCCCTCGAGCTGCCAAGCGTGTCTGAAGGGTGTCACTGCCTGCTCCATCTGGCAGTGCTGGGCCCAGCCACAGAAGGTGCCGACTTCCTGCGCCTGCTGCGTCACAGCTGCCTGCTTCCTCTCTTAAGACAGCACCTCTCAAATCTGGCCCCAAGTGAGACACGGCAACAGAGACACAGCACATGAGAGACCGGGACTCAGGGAAGCTGCTGTCGGCATGTGTCTCCGTAACTACTGCAGCGCGGGCCACCACCGGCACAGCTGTGCCACAAAGCCTGCCCCAGGCCTCTAACAGACAGATCTGCAGACACACACACAGGGCAGCCTTCTGCAGCCGTCTGCCCCTTCCACCGTCTTTTGAACGCCTGCAAGGAGTCAGCAGCATGAGGCCTCACAAGAGGGGACCACGGGCTGGTGCCACAGCTCACACAACTCCGTATGGGACATTTTAGCAGAAGCTGCTGTCCTGAGGTTTGTCAGCGGCACACCAGCAAACTCCAGCCAACAGAGAAAGGCACTGGAATTGCAGGGCTGACAGAGAAACTGTTCAGGGAGAGGCTGGAGCACCAGACCTGCTCGCCAGTCACTGCCTGTCCGGCCCCCCATCTGCAGGTTGTATAGGAGCAATCAGTGACCCCAGAAGTGAAGGAGGCAGTGTTAGGGACCACAAGGGGTCTGAGGGAACAGCTGTACAGAGCGACGGTTCTGAGAGCCATAGTCAGCAGGAGGCAGCAGGGCCTGGGCAGAGATCAAAGCAGTCAGGAGGCTGCGCCCCCATTTCCCAGCTGCACCCACCCCCCCAGCAAGCTCCCTGCTCTCCAGGTGCCCACTCCCCGATTTCCCAGCTGTACCCCCTAGCAAGCTCCCTGCTCTCCAGGTGCCCACTCCCCCGTTTCCCAGCTGTACCCCCAACAAGCTCCCTGCTCTCCAGGTGCCCACTCCCCGATTTCCCAGCTGTACCCCCTAGCAAGCTCCCTGCTCTCCAGGTGCCCGCTCCCGTTTCCCAGCTGTACCCCCAACAAGCTCCCTGCTCTCCAGGTGCCCGCTCCCCTGTTTCCCAGCTGTACCCCCAACAAGCTCCCTGCTCTCCAGGTGCCCACTCCCCCGTTTCCCAGCTGTACCCACCCCCCCAGCAAGCTCCCTGTTCTCCAGGTGCCCGCTCCCCTGTTTCCCAGCTGTACCCCCAGCAAGCTCCCTGCTCTCCAGGTGCCCGCCCCCCGTTTCCTAGCTGTAACCCCAGCAAGCTCCCTGCTCTCCCCAGGACTGTTTCCTCATCAACAAAAATGGGGAGAGGGCCCGCCTCAGAGCTGCCGAAAGCCATAAGTGAAGCGGCCTGGCTCCTACTGGGTGGTCTAGAGTGACAGTGACAGCTTGCAGGGAGGCAAGGCAGAGCAGTGATCTTGCAGGGCCCCAGCTGAGCGTTCACCTCTGAACCCCAAATAACCTCATCCATGCAACGACGCCACAGCTCCCAGCACAATTACAGAAAGTTCACAGAGTGCTTAGCACAGTGCCGCATGTGCAGCAAGGGACATTAAATATTAACCGCTTCTGTGAGTCTTGACACTGGCCAAAGGGTAGCCACATTTCATCTCCCCTCAAAGCAACCCTGGGAAAGCAAGCGCCATCACTGCCCGTAACCACATGGCGCCAGAGCCCAGAGTGCAGCCATTTCCCTCCCGCACAGGCCTTCCGCCCTGCCAGGGGTCACCCCCAGAGCTGAGGAAGGCTGTCACCCGCTCCTCTGGCCGCCTGTGCAGGACTAGCCCTGGTGGGGAAAGCAGGAGTTTGCTCAGGACACTCTGAATTAATCTACATGGCACACCAGGAGCTCACACGCAGACGCTGTTTCACACAGCGCTCAGGCGCCTGCCCTCTAAGCGCTGCATAAACAATCTTTCAGGGGCCTTTCACCAGCGACAATCCAGAGGCTCAGGAGGACCCCACGTCCAGCCAACAGCAAACCCAGCGCACCACCAGGCCGGCCCCCGGTCACAGCCTCGCACGCCCGAAGCAGTGCTTCCAGGCAAGATAAAAAGCTCTGTGCTAAATGTCAGCAATGGCCCTGTCCATTAGGGTGCTGGGGCTGCGGGGCCAGTCTTGGGATCAGTCTCGCCAGCTGCACAACCAGTGGGCAGAGGCGTCACTCACCATCAGGTCCTTCACACGGTTGCTGAGCTGGTCGATGAACAGGATGGGCAGGTAATGCACGGTCTTCCCCAGCTGGATCCTGGGATTAAAGCACAACTTTCCAAAATCAGTCCAAGGTTTTTCCCTTTCAATGAACCAATACATCCAGGCACTGGGTTTGCCCCAGAGAAGTCCCCCCAGCACCACCCTCAGCGGCTTCTCAGTCACAATGACCCCAGGGCACAGCCTCCCCAAACAGAATCAGAGAGCCAGACAACATATGCACGCTTCTGAGACCCACTCCCCAGGAAGTGACGGCCACAGGTGGGAAAACCACTCCCTAGGAAGTGACGGCCACAGGTGGGAAAACCACTCCCCAGGAAGCGACGGCCACAGGTGGGAAAACCACTCCCCAGGAAGCGACGGCCACAGGTGGGAAAACCACTCCCCAGGAAGTGACGGCCACAGGTGGGAAAATGCCTCCACGGCCACTAGGGGGAACTACAGGGACATGGCCGTACAGCAGAGCCCAGGGCCCTCTGTGCACGGACATGGAGCAATCCCAGGACGTGGCCGCTACACTTGGAAGGGCGAGTCACCTGCAGCCACCTAGGAGACGGAGCTGCGGTGTGGGAGTTGGGGGGGATCCCTAACACATGGGAGACACGGGGTGAGCTCAGGTGGCCAAACACGTAAATTCCAATAATTGTATTTAATTGATGGCAAATTACACTAAAGTAATAATCTAAAGGTTAACTTTTAGGTAAATCTAAATGAGCCAAGTTAAAAAATCACAAGGGCAGCAAAGCAACACATTCCTGTGAGCGCCTTCCATTTTCTCTCCATGGAAGCCTTCGCCAGCCAGGAGCAAAGGGCAGGATGCTCCGGCTTGAATTCCCTTCTTCTCCCTTCCAGCCCTCTGGTAGCAGCACAACCTCAAGGAGGAAGTGGGAAGGGCTGGGGCCCGGGCAGCGAGGGCCTCGCCACAGAGGGGGAAGAGCTGGGCCCGGGCAGCGAGGGCCTCGCCACAGAGGGGTAAGAGCTGGGGGCCGGGCAGCGAGGGCCTCGGCACAGAGGGGGAAGAGCTGGGGGCCGGGCAGCGAGGGCCTCGGCACAGAGGGGGAAGAGCTGGGGGCCGGGCAGCGAGGGCCTCGGCGCAGAGGGGACTCCAGGATGCAGGGGCGGCCCGCTGGCGGGTTCTGGCCAGCCAGGGTCCCAGCACCCTCCCGCCGGCGCTCCAGCTCTGGGGCCCCACTTACATCTTCATGTACCGATGCACATCGGCAGGCAGGGAAGACCCATCGAAAACAAAGTTGTCTGCCATCACATTCAGCGCCAGCCGCGGTCTCCAGTGGGACACTGGCTCATCCAGGGCGCTCGTCGGCTTCTTCTCCGCCTCGAGCTGCTGCTGAGTGAGGAAAACAGAGGCCAATGCTAGGACAGAAAACCGTGCCCGGGACAGCAGGGTCAGCACCCTAACCTGTGAACAGACAGCCATGCACGGGCACAACTGGGGGAGAGCCTAGCAGAGAGGGCACAGTGGCCCCACGGCTGCCAATTCCCCCAGACTCTCACCAAACACCCCCAATCCTTATCAACATGGAAGCCTGGGGGTGCTGCTTTGCAACATGTGGTCACGGATCTCACCAAGTCCTTTTCTGGGGTTCTCAAACTAAGTGGGCCCACTTCTCAGAAGCTGAGAGGGTGACAGCCCCCTGACTTTGGCAGAAGACTGTGCAAGTCCAGAGCTCACACAGCCCGGTGGCTGGAAGGAGACCAGAGCGACATGGCTTCTAAAACCAAGCATGTGGGGCTGCCTAAAGGAGGAGACACACTGAGGACTAGGCACGGCTCTTAAATGAAGTGAAACTTCAAAGGGACACTGACTGACAGGGAAATCTTAGCTCGTTTCAGATCTGATACATCCTAGGAAACACTATGATCTTACCCATTTCCTACCTAAAGATACAGTTTAGCAATAATTTACATTACAACTGGTTTTTCACACCTCGTCATATTTGCTACCTGGAAGGGAGGCTCCCTGCGCTACATGCTACGTACCCATCACCCCACCCACTTTTCAGGACACCGGTGAGGAGGGACGCGGGCCCCGGATGAGGGGGACACGGAGAGGGGCAGGTGCGGGATGTTCCTAAGGAGACACAGATGCAAACTGGGGAGAGGCAGGAGCAGGTGTTGGCAGGGCTTTCAAAACCACATGAATCCCGAGACACCTCTTTCTCTCTGTCTGGAACCATTTCACAGCCTCTTCCTGGAAAGCGGCCATCTTTCTTGTTTTGTAAACTTTTTTTCTGAGGCAGAGTCTCCCTCAGTCGCCCAGGCTGGAATGCAGTGGCGCCATCTCACCTTAAGGGTTCAAACGATTCTCCCGCCTCAGCCTCCCGAGTAGCTGGGATTACAGGCACACGCCACCACGCCCGGCTAATTTTGTATTTTTAGTAGAGACGGGGTTCGCCATGTTAGCTAGGCTAGTCTCGAACTCCTGACTTCAGGTGATCCACCCACCTCAGCCTCCCAAAGTGCTGGGATTACGGGCATGAGCCACAGCGCCCAGCCTTGTTTTATAAATTATCTCACTTTCCACTCAACACAAAGGTGGGTATCAGAATTCCCCTGCTTCATCCTTGGCCTGTGTTCATGATCACTTAAGTGACTTCCAGTTTTTATTTGCACATACACCTTTCTACAGATGTACAAACTACAACTCGTATCTCTACCTTTTCCAGCAGCTCCAGTTACGTTCTTAGAATAAACATCTAGGAATAGTCCAGTCCTACAGAATGCAGAATGAGCCCAGCTCTCATCCCCAGAGCTCCTGGTGAGAAGCTGCAGGCCAGCTCTGCAGGACCAGCGCTCCATCCCACCAGGTGCAGCAGGTGCCTCCAGACGCTGAGAGGGCCCACTCCTGAGGGACTCTGCATAGAGAATGCCAGCGACCACTTCAACTGTCCCTAATTTTAGATAAAACCTGTCCGCAAACTCATGGATATGACTCAGCTGAAAGTCAGAAATGCATGCCAGTAACATTCCAATGGCTTTACTCCCAACAAAGTCACTGGAGCCCTAGACATCGCCTGCCTGTGTGGAGACAGACACGTCCGTTCTGACGGGGCGGCACAGCCTGTTGTCAGTAACCCACAAAGATCCTCACCTGTGCATCAGACTCCCCAGTGAGCAGGTTGATTTCTTCCGGCTTGGGGACCATGTAGGTGGTCAGAGGACTGACCAGGTGCACCTGCTTCCCGTCGTGCCACGGCAGGACCCCAGCGTGATGGAGGAAGATGTAGGCATACAGCGTCCCATTGTTTCTCGTTTTCTTTGGTACAGAAACATTAACTGTCCTGAAACAGAACAACCATTTACACCACATACGCATTATATTCTGTCTCTAGAAACTATTCAAATACCTTTACAGAGCTGTTTCAATAAAGTAATTTCAGCTCAGAAGTACTAAAAATGAAACCCACCTGCCCGGGGCTTTACGAGTCCTGGGTGTGTGTGTCCTGAGAACTCGGCACAGGTGTGGGCGCCTACAGCTGAAAGCAAGAGGGCCCGCACTTCCTGCCTCCATCTCAGGAGGCTGAGAGGTCAATGACCCGCCTGAGGCTACAGGGCTGAAGCAGCCAGCTGGAAAGAAGCTTCTGGGCCTGGCCAGGACACCAGCTGACCACACACACTGAATCCCAGAACTCTGAAGTGAAGGGCAGCAGCCGTGAGGGCTCCGTACGCCCGCTATTGGAGTCTCAGAAATTTAATGTGGGTAGTTTTTTTGGGTGTTGCATTTTTAAAGATAAAAAGATGATCAGCCACAAAGGACTGACTTTCAAGCCTGTCTGCCCTGACTGCGCGGCCTCCAGTGTGAGCTGAGGAAAGGTCCGGTGAGCTGCTACAACTGTAGGCCTCGGACCAGGCGCTTGGCTCTTCACCTGCACGCTAGAGTCCGACGTCCACACTACAGCCCCGTGGAAAACCTCACATGCCACCTGTTTATGGTTACATGAGTTCTTCTTCCTCTTTATAAAAAAGTCTTTTTTTTTTTTTTTTTTGAGACAGTCTTGCACTGTCACCCTGGCTGAAGAGCAATGGCGCAATCTCGGCTCACTGCAAACTCCGCCTCCCAGGTTCACGCGATTCTCCTGCCTCCGCCTCCCAAGTAGCTGGGATTAAAGGCGCACACCACTACACCAGGCTAATTTTTTGTATTTTTAGTAGAGACGGGGTTTCACTATGTTGGCCAGGCTGGTCTTGAACTTGTGACTTTGTGATCCACCCGCCCGGCCTAAAAGTCTTTTTTTGAGACAAGGTCTCGCTGTCACCAGGCTGAAACTGCAGGGGGTGCAATCATAGCTCACTGCATCCTCAACCTCCTGAGCTCAAGGGACCTCCCGCCTCAGTCTCCCGAGTAGCTGGGACTACAGGTGTGCGTGCCACCACGCCTGGCTAACTTTGAAAATTGTTGTAGAGCTGGGGTTTTGTCACATTGCCTAGGCTGGTCTCGAACTGCTGGGCTCAAGTGATCCTCCCGCCTCGGCCTCCCAAACTGCTGGGATTATAGGCGTGAGTCACTGTGCCTGGTCTCTCCTTAAAAACCTTATGGTTGGCCAGGTGCCGCGGCTCACGCCTGTAATCCCGGCACTTTGGGAGGCTGAGGCAGGTGGATCACGAGATCAGGAGTTTGAGACCAGCCTGGCCAACACAGTGAACCCGTCTCTACTAAAAATACAAAAATTAGCCAGGCGTGGTGGCGGGCACCTGTAGTCTCAGTTACTTTGGAGGCTGAGGCAGGAGAATCACTTGAACCCAGGAGCCGGAGGTTGCAGTGAGCAGAGATCATGCCACTGCACTCCAGCCTGGCAACAGAGCGAGACTCCATCTCAAAAAAAAAAAAAAAATCTTATGGCCAAAGTTCTAATGAGAAACACAAAGGCATCTATGGCTCCTCACTACCCAAGAAATAACCCGTCTCCACCAGGACATCTTAAGTGTCTCTCTTTAGGCGGGGGTGCAGGGCTGTGTATCTCTGATGGAACGTGCACTCAGAGACACTTGAGGTGGGGCTGTGTCAGAGTGCTCATTCTCCCCGCTACCTCCAGGCTGACACTGTGCCAGGTCAAATGGAAAACCTCACTAGCTGTCCTTGATAACTGGTCCAGGGCCCAGCATGGAAGATGCAGTATTCATGTCTGGGAAATTAAACCCAATGCAGATGAATCCTGAGCATTTTTGAAAGATGTGGGCAGCTACAACCGACTGGTGACCAAACCAGCACTTCTGGCCTCTATTTCATGGAGGCAGAGAGAGGGCAGCAACTGGCTTGAGATCACAGGCCCAAAGAGGCCAGGCAGAAACCGCCTTGCCAGTGCCACCAGCTACCCACAGGGACTGGCCGCCTCAAGGGCGTGGAGTCCAGCTAGAGTCTCAAGCTTTCATTATTCTCTCCTCAGATACCTCCCAGGCAATGAAGGGAAATGGTTGACTTGTGAGAAGCAAATCACAGTTAAAATTACTCAATTAAAAAAAAATAGGCCATATGTTAGATGTAATTTTTAAGTTACTCTACATATTTGGACATTGATCTATTCTAACGTCACATGTCACTTAATTACGATTTTCTACAAAATTGCTTCCTCCATCCCCATCCCTTTTCCTTCACAAGTAACATAAGCGAACTACTTCCACCAGGAAAAGACAAGTCGGCCCCGGTAGTGAAACTACAGAGCTGTCCGCTCTCAACTGGTTCAAGCGTGGCCCCTGCTCCTTCGGAGCCTCCCCGCTGCAGGACATCCCACTGCCATCAGACTCTGCTGAGAGCTACCTCCCAAACGACATTCATCACCTGTCACCTTCCAGGTTGAATGTTTACAGGCCACGCATAGGCCTCCACTTACGATATTCTACTACTTCGAGACATTCGGTAAGACTAGTTCTCTAAGGTAAACACGTTAGGTACAGAAAGCTAACTTTCAAACGACCTGAACACAAGTAATGTTTTCCCTTTCACTGGCATTTTGTCCTACAACCATACCTTTCAAATTTGGACTCCACATCAAAGTCTTCCACATTCAAGACCAGGTCGATGTTGTTCTCAGTACCCAGGTGGGACCTCGTCGTGGTGTATACGCTCAGCTGGAAAGGAGGGAGCGCCGAGAGTCAGCCCGGCCAGGCCCTGGCAGGACGCACACGCATCCCACGGCCAGTTGGAGGGCGGAAGACCTGGCCGCTGGGGAACCAGGAAAGGTTCCATCTCGACTCGCGCGGCCACAGCTCCGAACTAAGACGCGACGGCGGCGTCTAGGGCCTGGAGGAGTGGCCCCCACCCCAACCCGCCCGGCCCCCGGCCCCCAACCCCGCGGACGCTCACCTGCAGCTTGGGCCGCCGCGCCAGGTAGGGCTGGATGCAGTTGGCGTCGCCGGAGCACGGGCGGGTGTAGACGATGCCGTACATGACCCAGCAGGTGTGCACCACGTAGACCACGAACACGCCCACCACCAGGCTGGTGAAGGAGCTGCGGCCGCTCCACATGGCTGCCCCGCGCCCGGCGCCCCCGGCCCGCCCGCCCGGCACCCAGCCCGCCGCTCCGGCCTCCACCGCTCACTGGAGAGCCGCAGCGCGCCGCCGCCACCGCCGCGGGGGAACGAATGCGCCGCGCGCCGCAGACCGCCAGCCGCCCCGCATACTCCGGCCCCGCTCCGACCTGGCGCCGCGGGATTCGCCGGCGCCGCCCGGCGCTTCCGGGCCCCGCCGCCTGCCGGAAGTGGACACGCCGCGCGGCTCCCTGGGAAGCGGAGTCGCGGCCGCCGCCGCGCACGCGCGTCCGGGATGCGACGCGTGTGTGACGTCACCAGCCCGCGCCACCCTCCGGACGTGCCTCCCAGGAGCCCAGGAGCTCCGCTGTTGGGGCCTCTGAGGGTGTTCGCGGGGCGCCGGGGAAGGCTAGGGCTTCGGGGTTCCCGGGACGCCGCCCCCAACCGACCACGCCTGCCAGACCACCAAGTGGGGGCCGTGTCGGGGAGCCTGGTGGAAGGCGGTACGGGAATTCCGGCACTGTGCCTGCAACCGTTTTAGTCCACGGCTGTCAAAATCTAAAGGGAAGAAAAACGAAATGCTCAGAACCCTCACCCTCACAGAAGCTGAGCACCTCATCCCGTGTGTGGATTTTTTCCCCAGTACAAGCCCATTGTGGGGACAGGCGCTTTTGAAGGAAGAATTCAAATTCCCAGGCTGAAGTGGCTCCTCACAGCCTTGAACCTGACCCCCAGCTTCCCGCTAAAGCCAGGCGTGCCCAGCACGGCGAGGTCAGCAGCGGCCCCTCGGAGGGCGGCCGTGGGAGGCCAGTGGGAGGCCCTCGGGCAGCCGGTGAATGGGCCGGCGACCTCTCCGACTCCGTGAGAAGCGCTCAGTCCGTGCCCTTCAGGTACTGGAGCGGCTCCTGCCCTTTGGCCAGTTCTCTGGAAGGTCGTTTCATTTTCTGTGTCTGCCACACGCGTACCACAAGCGCACCACAATCGAAAACCTTGTTCGACATTTCTAGAAAGAGTAGATGCTACTGAAGACCCAATAGATTACTGAGGGTTTTCGGAGCAGGGACAATTGCATCAGAGTGCTAGGCTCCGGGGTGAACTCAGGATTTGGCTGACTGGCGGATGGGACAATGATTGGTGCCGAGACTGGGCCGGAGAAGGAGACCTGTCCAGAGCAGGCACCCGAGGCCGCGTGCAGGGGCAGTCCTGGGCCACCAACCCTTGGAAGCTGGGCCAGGAGCTTCGGAGCCATTCGAGTCTTTTTTTCGCCCCTCTCACTCTCATGCACCTAGTTACCCTCCCCACAGAGTCCTCTCACTGCGCGATTTTCGTCTACCGCTGCAGTGGTGTCTGACTACACCCAGTGCCTCTATCCTTCCCCCTTCAGTCTGTTCTCGCTTCTTGGCAAACCTGTCCTTGGAAAGCCGTCTGCTGACTCCAGTTACCCTGATCAAATGCATCCTCCTCGACGGGCTTGTGAGCGGTTTGCAGGGTGGCCCAAGAGGCATCATGCCTTGCTCTTCAGCCACTTCTGGGGGCCCCTACAGGGCCAAGCATCCCACACCGGCAGCGGGTGCTGGTCCTGCCACAGTCTGTGCAACATGTGAATGAAGGCTGTAGTCCTGTGGTCTGCGGGAGGCAAATTCCAACTCCAGCTGTCAAACATAAAGGGACTGGCAGGCTATCCAGGGTGGATGTCTCATGGCATCCAAGGCAGGGACCTAGGCAGGCCTCGGGAAAGAGCTACAAACCGAGGAGCTCTGGGGTGTGGCTTCATCTCCCTCTCCCTACCACCCTACCCCCATCTCTCTGTGTTCCTCAGATGCCTCATTTTCCTGTCAGGCACCTGGCCAGCTCTAGGAGCTGGAATCAGGTTGGTACCTTCTTGGTCAGTGTCCATCCCTAGTGTCATCCACAGTGGCCAACGGAAGGGGTGGCTGGTGGTGCAGGACATTTGCCATCTTGGGAAAGATCACAGAGGAAGGGCCTCTTTAGCTGAGCAGACGAGGTTCTGCAGTGGTCTGGACACATTTGCACACTCGTGGGCATCCCCTGCCCTGTTGAGCAGACGGGGTTCTGCAGTGGTCTGGACACGTTTGCACACTCGTGGGCATCCCCCTGCCCTGTTGAGAAACCACATGACGAAAGGGGACCCTTGCACCTGTCGCCTCCCCACTCTGACCGCCAGAGGCTGGACTGCCAGCCAGCCGTGCCAGCATGTGACAGCACTTGACAGAAAGTCCCTGGAAAGGATGTGGATCATTGCAGAACTCCCTCGAGAAAGCGCCAGAGGAGGACCCCATTCAGCACCCCGCAGAACTCCTCAAACTCCTGCGTCCCCCTCAACACTCCCCGAGTGTGGTGGCTGCTTCTATCTCCCCAGGCTTAGCTGGCCTGGGTCTTGAAGGCCTCTCCTCCCGCTGTCCCCACGCAGCACCCTCTCGGCCACTGCACAGCTGGATGCAGTGAAGGCCAGGCAGCTGTGGCTGCTTGGGGAACAGGAGCTGCTTGACCCTGTTCTGCTGACTTTGTTGGCCTCACTCCCGTGGAGAGCCAAGGTTACCATATCCCTGAAGCTATGGCTTTCTTTCTAGGCCTGGGGGAGTCACATCTTGCATTTGTACTCACTGAGCTCCAAGTCTATGGTTAGAGAATTTATCAACGTTTTAAAATGCTTTTATCAATTCCATCATTTGAGGGCCCTCTAGCAAGGAACGTGTTAGTACGTGGAGTGCCTGGAATGTTCTAGAAAGCTGACATGAAGAGCTGGCCCTTGCTGTCCTTATTCATTGAGGACTCCAATGGCCACTCAGGATGACAGGAAATGCAGGCTCCAAGAGATTTGGTTCCTTTGTGAGGCCCTCGGGCAGTGGTCAGACACGAAGGAAATAGGAATGGCACCCGCAAACCGCACTTCTCCCTACAGGCCATAGCTGCTGTGCAGCCTTGGGAGGCGGGTGGAGGGAAAGAGGAGGGCATCTGAATGTGGATACTCCCTGCTGTGAGGGCTGTGGGGTGTCCTCAGACTGGAGCCCGGCCCCAGGCTCAGCTCAGCTCAGGGACCTCACACCCAGGCTTTTCTGGGAAGGAAGGTTTTGGATCTCCTGCCTCTCTGTATTCATTGACGCTGGGTTTCTCTCTCTTCCGCGCATTCTAACATCTGCAGGATTTTTTTTTTTTGTTGAAACAGAGTCTCGCTCTGTCGCCCAGGCTGGAGTGCAGTGGCATGATCTCAGCTCACTGCAAGCTCCGCCTCCTGGGTTCACACCGTTCTCCTGCCTCAGCCTTCTAAGTAGCTGGGACTACAGGCGCCCGCCACCACGCCTGGCTAATTTTTTGTATTTTTAGTAGAAACGGGGTTTCACCGGGTTAGCCAGGATGGTTGCAATCTCCTGACCTTGTGATCCGCCTGCCTCGGCCTCCCAAAGTGCTGGGATTACAGGTGTGAGCCGCTGCGCCCGGCACATCTGCAGGATATATGGATGAAGGGCCACAAACCCATGTTTGGTCTCATTCAACAGATGTTGTGTCCGCCGGGCGGGGTGGGACTCTGTCTCTGCCCACACCACCTGCCCCTGGGGTTGTAGTTCTAGGAAAGCAAGTCTCACACTGAGTTTTGATGTGGATTAGATTCTGTCCCAGCTGCAGATACTTGTAGGCAAGCAGGGACAAGAACCCTCAGGCAAAGCTGGGTATCCTGCGATGGGTGCCTCTGGGAGTTTGCAGATAACAAGGCCTTTTCCTGGAGGCAAAGCGGAAGCGTTCTGTGGCAGACCAGTGAGCTTTCTAGCAGCTCAGAGGCAGGGACATCTAGGCCCAAGGTGTGACCCCTGTGCCTGGCTGCTGGCTCTCCTCTTGCAAGGACACAGCTCTTACAGGACTTTCTAGCCCACCCAAGAGCATTTTTCCATCGTTGAAAAGTTATTGGTAAGTGCCACCATGCGCATGAGCAGCCCTCCGGGGCTGGCTTGTGTGCTGGTGTTTGAGAATCTTGCCAGTTGAATGTGGGCATCTGCTTAGGGTTCCCCAAAGGCTAACCGTTCACACCAGAGGGAGGCTGTGGCTCATTCCTAGGGCCCTGCGTGAGACTGGGGCTCATGCACACACACAGGTATCAATGGCATGGAATGTAACGAGCTGAGTGCCCACTGCCATTTCCTAGTCGGGGGGCTCCTAGAGAAAGAGGGGAGGCTGCTACTCTCCAGGGCCGCAGGGAGCCCAGAACGCCATCTCCTGGTGTCAGCAGCAGAAATCCATATGAGTCTGCAACAACTCAGCTTTTGCCTCCTCAGAGGAAGTAATTCATCTGGGGGCACAAGGCAGAGTGCAAGACTGAGGTAAGTTTCAGAGCAAGAGTGAATGTTTATTAAGAATTTTTAGAGCAGGAATGAAAGGAAGTAAAGTACACTTGGAGGAGGGCCGGGGGGCATCTTGAGAGACCAAGTACACAGTTTTGACCTTTGACTTGGGGTTTACATGTTGGCTTGCTTCTGGGGGGCTGCATCCCTTCTCCCCTGATTCTTCCCTTGGGCTGGGCTGTCCGCATGCGCAGTGGCCTGCCAGCACTTGGGAGGGCCGCGGGCACAGTCTGCTTACTGGAGTTGTGTGGTGCCCTCTTGAGGCAGTCTTCTCTTACCAGTTCCTAGGGGAAGGTCACACACTGGTTAAACTTTGCCACTTTGCCTCGTAGTGCGCGTGCTTGACCTCACTCACCTGAGGTCTCCTGAGATTTTTTTTTTTTAAGTTCTAGGGTACATGTGCACAACATTCAGGTTTGTTACATAGGTATGCATGTGTCATGTTGGTTTGCTGCACCCATTAACTCGTCATTTACATTAGGCATTTCTCCTAATGTTAACCCTCCCACCCCACGACAGGCCCTGGTGTGTGAGGTGCCCCGCCCTGTGTCCAGGTGTTCTCACTGTTCAATTCCCACCTATGCCAACACCTGAGACTTATCGGGAAGCGGCTCATCACCAGCTTCAGGTGTTTTCTATCTATTGGGAGCCTACCCTTTCCTGGCACCAGCTGCAACCAATAATTATTTTAGTTTAACAACTGCTTGACCATCACCTGATGATCGCCTGACATTTCTGTTGGGGTGCGGGCCCCTCTCCTGCCCTGCTCATGTGGGGCTCAATCTGCCCAACCTGTCCCCATGGGCCTGTCTTTACTTCATTTGTGGTAAGCCCCAAGCAGAATGGACTCTTGTTATGATTCCAGGAACTGCTCACA